GCGAGTGCCAGGGAGAGCTCCGCACCGCTCCGTATTTTCTGTCGCGGGTCACTCCGCCCCGGGCTGGTCACCGCGTGGGCCAGGGGGTCCCCTCCTGTCAGGGCGGCGAGGAGACCCTCGCCAAAGGCCCTCCCGTCCCTGCTGGTGGCGCTGAGCCAGTGTTTGCGGGGTGAATGGGGAGGAGGGGAGACACAGGCTGACCAAAGCAGCTGCCTTCGCCAGTCCCACCTGGCAGTTCCAGCTCCCTATCGCTCAGTCGTGCTTCTCACTTGTGTTTTTAAATTGTTTGCATGTGGAAAAGTCGCGAGTTCCCCAAATACTGTAAGCAGCCCGAGGATGAAGGTTGGATGGGTGAAATCTCAGCGCCGGCCCTGGCTAGAGGCTTCCTGCAATGAAGGAGAGGACCCCCAGTGGGAGCCGGAGGACCCCAACCTGTGCCTGGGACCCGATGGGGTTTCCTTCACAGGGAACCAGGAGGACTTGCTGAGGAGTTGCCCTCAGCTGATGTAAGAGTTCAGGCTGGGAGGTCATTGTTGTTAATGGTCTTAAGGAGCCCTAACCAGATGTTCTGGGTTTACCTGTATTCAGCCCGTGCTGTGCTACTACAAAGGCTTCTCTCTGCAAGGTTTCTCTCACATGTAGAATTTTGTGATTCTATATCGTTGCCCCAAACGCTGGAACTTGCAAATCTTTTGTTGTTTACACCAAGCTGAGATTCTTCTCATACAATGTGCGTTGACTGCCATGACTTCCTGAAAGAGAGACCTTCAAGAGAAGAGGGCGTTTCCAGTGATTTTTAGGGGAAATGTGCAAATGAGAGAAGAAAATGAGGAATAATAATTTCAGACAGAGAAAAGGACAAGACATGTTGTCTCAGAAGTTGTATGGTTTCTTGCTTGAGCACCCAAATTGTTCAGTGAGCAGTTAATATGGTAGATATTTCCAATTTTAAGAGGCTCATTTATTTCAAACTAGAGGCCTGGTGCACAGATTTGTGCACCAGTGGAGTCCCTCAGCCTGGCCCGCTGGGATCGGGCTGAAACTGGCTCTCGGACATCCCCTGAGGGGTCCCGGATTGTAAGAAAGCGTAGGCCAGGCCGAGGGAACCCACCGGTGCACTATTGATTGGGGCCAGGGAGGGATCGGGGGAGGGCTCCAGGGTGTGTCCGGCCAGTCTCGCCCAGTCCTGATCCACTGGACCCCAGCAGCAAGCTAACCTACCGGTCGGAACGTCTACCCCCTGGTGATCAGTGCACATCATAGCGACTGGTTGAACGTTTGGACACTTAGCATATTAGGTTTTTATTATATAGGGGGATAAATATCTGGGAGTGTCTCTTTTTAATGTGTTCTATACACCACACAAATTTGTGGCAATTTTATTCATGGTTCTTTCAGTTGAAATGCTTTAGGATCCAAGGAACCGAATATTCAAATAAAAGTGGCTTCAACAACAAGCACCTGTTATCTCCAGGGGAACGTGGCTATTTATGGCTCTATGAGGTCATCATTTCCATCTTCCTGCTCTGCCATCCCTGAGGGATTGGCCTTGTCCCTTTCCATGGCGGCAGCTCCAGGCATCACATGCAAACATGACCACATTTAGAAAGGAGGTGGGCATTTCTCCTGATGCATCTTTTTATTAGACAGGAAAACCCTTTTCAGAATCCTCCCAGCCGCCTTCCCTCTCAGGTCCCATTAGCCAGGACGGGGTCACAGATATATGTTTTACCTGCACGGGAGGCTGGGAAAGTGACGTGGGCATGTTCCGCTGGCAAGGAAGAACCAGGAGGTGGTGGGCAGGCAACCCCAGCAGAGCCTGGCACAACCAGTCTTCAGTATATCCTACGAGCCAGATTGCAACGAGTCATACAGCCTCTAACAAGCAAATAATAAATGGGTCATGTTACTTTTCTGTTTAAAATGCTTCCAAACCTCCCCGCTGACGCAATAAAGTTCACACTTTTTAAGCCTGGCTTATGAGACCCTTTATGATCTGGCCCCCATCCTCTGCTACACTCAGCTCATTCCCATTTCATTGTTTAATTGAAAAAAATCCTTTTCAGTTTTTTTGGTATTTGTTTTAAAACCTCTAATTTTAGAGAAAGACATGACGTGGTGCAGAATAGGTGAGACGTGTGTAGCCTGTGACGAGCGGTTCTGCACATTCCAAGGTGCCACTGCAGTTGCCGCGGCTGTCCCAGCGAGCGGGGGTGGTTGGGACAGAGAATTCGTGACCGGCGTTCCTTCCCACACGGTTCACAAGGAGGCAGCACAGTGCGCTGTGAGCTATTTCGGTCCCAGCGGTGTAGGCAGAGCTGGAGGCTGTTCAGGACTTTGTGATGGCCTCTTGCTGGGGTGTCTTCAGGGGATATGCTGTTCACTTTGCAGGATGACAAGGCCTTTGATCACATCCTGTCCTCAGCGCTGAAAAGGTGGCGCTCTGACTTCCTCAGTTAATTCAAAGAATTCCATTCTGGTGCCACATCATTTGAAGCTGTACTTCATGGTGAACTTAGAGAACAGGGTCACATTTTGCCCACCTTGCCTGGGATCACCTCTTAAAAAATTTTTTTTTAATTGATTTTAGAGAGGAAGGGAGAGGGAGAGAGAGAGATAGAAACATCAATGATGAGAGAGAATCATTGATTGGCTGCCTCCTGCTTGCCCCCCACTGGGGATCAAGCCTGCAACTCGGGCATGTGCCCTGACCAGGAATTGAAGTTTGACCACCTGGTTCATAGGTCAACGCTCAACCACTGAGCCACACCAGCCAGGCTGGGATCACCTCTTGCAGCATCCACACACTAGGTGGTTTGTTTGTTTTTAATTCATCTTTAGCATGAATCAGTCAACACTAGTTTCATTAATGATGAATGTCCAAGGGGAAAGGTAGCTGTTACAGTAAAGATTAATTCAGGTATCACTTCATATATAAAAGGCAACTTCAGATTATATGGTTTAAGGAGAAAGGCAAAACTTTATAAGCATTTTAGAATAACATGACATGATCTCTACAACTCTTTGGAGCAGCTGTCAAAATGCACATGCTAAAGACAACCTGTTTGGGTTCAGATCCTGACTCCATTGCTTTCTTGCTGTGTGACCTTGAGCAAGTGGCTTAATTTCTCTGTGCCTTGCACTCATCATCTGTCAAAGGGAGACGATGAAAACGGAAACGTAGAAAGTGCTCGGTAAGTCCTGGCTTTTCCTGTCTATCACCTCAGGATAGGGAAGGATTCCTTAAACAAACAAAACTACAAGCCACAGAGGAGAAGATTGATACCTGCAATTACAATGAAATGAAGGACTTTCATACATCAATAGACCATAAAGTCTGAAAAGAAAAACCACAAACTGAGGACATTTGTCGCACATATGACTGACAAGGGATTCACATCCAGGATGTACACGTGACTCCTCGGGCTCTGAAAAGGAGGCATTTCGAAGGTGTGTTAACCTAGATGCACAAAAACGTTGCACAGGGCTCGCTCAAGGCAAATAGAAACCTTTTACTAAAGAAGTTATATGCCTGGGGCATGACCACCCACCATGACCTGCCACATTAGAAATTTGCGATCAGATCACCCTGTGAGGGTACTTTGAGTTAGATTTATTATAGCGCCCCTCTTGTGTCCACACTTAGAGCCTCGGTTCGGAAAGGTAAAGGGAGTGTGGCACATTGGGTATGGCTCCCTGGCCTTGATGTCCCCAGTGCACAGGGTTTGGCCACGTGGCTTGCTTCGGAGATGTGGACAGAGCAACAGTGGGATAGTTCTGGGCCAAGACCTTCAGAGTAGCTCACGTTTCTGCTTGTTCTGTGCTCCTGGGCTCCATCCTGAGGAGAGTGTGCCCCAACGAGCCCGGGGCCGGAGAGAATGAAGAAACCCGTGAAGCGCACCTGAAGCTAAACCTTGCCGCATTTGGCTCACGGGCCCACAGACAAGAAAATAAATAGGGATCGCTGAGACTGAGAGTATCACACAGCAAAACCGATTGATTAAGGGTATTCTCCACCAGCTTCGTTGACAAAATCCTGGTGAAAAATTCCGATTGGCCTGGTTTGGGACATGTGACCCATTTCTGCACCAATCACTGAGGACAGAGATTGGTACTAGGATTGGCCCTCCTGGGTCATGTGCCCTCTTGATTCAGGGAGGTGGGGGCAGTTGCCCAGGTGAGGAGAAGAAATGCTGAGCAGACAAAAGCAATAGCAATGTAGTGGTGAACCCGCATAGAGTAGTGCCATAGAAACTTAGGCAGGAGATAGCAACAAAAATGAGGGTGTGTTGAATAATGCCATCGCTAGCAAAAAGGACACCCACACAAGAAATAACATGTGTTTATTGGCTCCGGCAATAATGACCAATAAAGGTCACTGGTGAGTTTTCCCTGTTTCAGTTGAGTGTTGGGGTGACTGCCAGATTACGGCTAAAGATACTATTTCAATAAATTAGAAATATTCCAACAAATTAGAAATCACTATAATATTTCAATAGATTAGAAATCACTATAGGAATGTTAGTTATTACTACAAAGGACCTTAGATAAGGAACAGGCTTTAAGGGAGAGCCAGCAGTTTTATTTACTTGCGCATCACTCTGAAGCCACAGGAGGCTTTGGGGAGGGGCGTGTTGAGATCACCGACACTAGAGGGAGATGATTCTGGAAGGAGGAGAGATTCCCTCGAGGGTGGGACTGGGCTAAAAGGTGGAGCACAGTCCTGGTGTGACCCTCAGGGCCTGCGGCGAAT